GACGGCGGCGGCGGCGACATCTGCGGCGGCGGGTTCGGCGGCGGCGACAGCGACAACGAAGGATGAAGATGAGGAGGAGGGGAAGGATGAGGAGGAAGAGGAGGAGGAGGAGGAGGAGGGAGGAGGAGGAGGAGGTGAGGAGGAGGAGGAGGAGGAGGAGGAGGAGGAGGAGGAGGAGGAGGAGGCTTCGTCCGTACGACCCTGCAGCCACCAGGAACCAGGAGGAGAAGGAGGAGAAGGAGGAGGAGGAGGAGGGAGGAGGAGAAGGCGGAGGACGAGAAGCGCAAACTCAAGGCGCATGAGCGATGTTGCACCAAGCCCTCCCTGCGTACTCCCTCTCCGTGGGCCCCTGCGCGGGTTCTCGCTGCGGGGAGTGCCCCGCTGCCCGCCCGCGCGCACGGGAGCCACGGAGGCAAGCCGCACAGGAGCCCGCCCGCAGCCGCCCGCACGCACGGAGCCCGCTCGCACGCCGAGGCCCCCCCACGGCGGGGAGTGCCCGGCCCGCCCGCGCCGCGGGAGGCCGCCCGCGGGGCTGCGGAGGAGGCGGAGGAGAGGCGCCCAGGGCTCGGGGCCCGAGAGCGGTGGTGCTGCCACCCACCCGGCGCCCACTGGCCTCCCTCCTCCTCCTCCTCCTCCTCCGCCTCCTCCTCCCTCCTCCTCCTCCTCCTCCCTCCTCCTCCTCCTCCTCCCTCCTCCTCCTCCTTCTCCTCCTCCTCCTCCTCCTCCTCCTCCTCCTCCTCCTCCTCCTCCTCCTCCTCCTCCTCCTCCTCCTCCTCCGTCCTCCTCCTCCTCCTCCTCCTCCTCTCTCCTTCCTCCTCCTCCCCTCCTGCTCCTCTCCTCCTCCTCCTCCTCCTCCTCCTCCTCCTCCTCCTCCTCCCTCCTCCCTCCTCCCTCCTCCCTCCTCCCCTCCCTCCTCCCTCCTCCCTCCTTCCTCCCTTCCTCCTCCCTCCTCCCTCCTCCCTCATCCTCATCCCTCATTCCCTCATCCCTCCTCCCTCCTCCTCCTCCTCCGCCTCCTCCTCCCCCCCCTGCCCAGACCGCCCTCGAGTCATGAAGACAGCACGACGCATTGGTTTCGCCGTGCTCGGCCCCCTGGGGGCCCTCACCATGCCTCGGTCAGGTAAGCCTTGCACCAGACGGAGCGTGAGCGGGGCGAAACCGAAGATGCGGCCCAGCGGACGAATGCCTTTAGCATCCGGGCCAACCTTTGACGGCCTGCTCCCACGTGCGAGCTGCGCCGCCCTCTGGGCGGAAGTAGGCAGCAAGTCGCTCGTGCGAGCCGGCAACTTTCAGACAAGCGCACCATACTAGATGTTCCCCACGTCTGTCGCGGTCTGCCTCGCCTTCTTGGGCCTGCAGCTCTACGGACGACAAGCGAGTCTGGCTCAAACACTGAAGCTCTGACAGGGTCCGTCCCTGGTCGGCGTGAAAGTTGGCCCATGAAAATCATCTGCCGCCTGGCGAGGCAGTCACTCAATTATGACAGTTTAGATATGCTCAAGACAGTGGCTATAGACACCGGCTGATGAACGACGGCTGCATGCGGAAAGTCCTTCGCAACCATCTATTTTGAAAGTTGTCTAATCTGCGTCGTTCGGCCTTGTTGAGGCATGCCGCAAACAGTAAGTACATCAACTTGGACACCACACACGCGTTGAATATCTTCACCTTCTGCTTCCTCCCCAAGACAGACTGAGACCAAATAGTGTGCAATGTTTGGAAATCACGCTTTGCACTTCCAATCCTCCTGCTCAATTCAGCGCCCCTTCTCCCATCTACAGAAAGAGATGTGCCCAAATAAATCAGCGACTCCTTACTGACGACGGGCTGGCCCAATTTGTTCATCACGTTCTCGTTGGTACGGACCTTCTTTAGTTCGACCTTTTTCCAATTGAATTGCAGTCCACAGTGCGCCCCGCAGCTCTCGACGCAGCACATGAGGTACTGGATCACTTCACGGTTGTTGCCGATCAGAAGAGTGTCGTCTGCGTTCGCCAAGTCTCTCATTATCCCATTCAGCACTTCCTCACCGCGTCGCCTACGCAGCTCACGATAAGCATCGTGAAGCAGAGTTGTCATACAGATTGTGAAGAGGAATTGTGATAAGGGGGCAGCCGTGACAAATTCCATACTGCTGCTTCCTCTCTCCAGATGTAGCGCCGGAATCTGATACAGTGAAGACACGATTGCCGTAGACGCTGGAGACCATGCGCACGAACTTGTCCGGGCAACCGAAACTCCGCAGCGCGTTGACCAACGACTTTGGAGACACCGAGTCGAATGCCTTCGCCCAGTCAAGAGCCAAAAAGATGCTCTTACCATCGCGCGCCGCCCACGTCTCTTCTAGTACTCGCCGCGCAATGAACACCGCATCGGCTGTGCCACACCACCCAGATCCGAAACCGAATTGTGACTGCCATATGCGCTGCTCGGCCTCTGCGTCCTTCATGCGTTGCAGCAATATCATGGCAAAGAAGTTGTAGCCGATTGGGAGGAGGCTGATGGGCATGTAGTTGTTGCAATCCCTTGGGTCGCCCGTTTTGTAAATCATCGTCACTGTGACTTATGCCAGGCCTCGGGTACTTGACAATTGCCCCATATCATTTTGCAGAAGCGAGTGATCCATGCAAGAGTGGGTGCGCCGTCGTCGGTCGCCGCCCGCCAAAACTCCGGAGTGATGTCGTCGGGGCCTCCTGCGGGTGTACCAAAGAGCCATGTTGCGGCATTGTAGCCGACGCCAACCAGTTTTTCGAACTCGTCACTCCCGCCATGGCTGACCTCGCTAGTCGTCGCCTCATTTCTGAAGCGCAAGAGAGGGGGCATTCTGGGAGCGTGTCTGTATTCACGGCCCCCCGCAGGCATACCTATCACGGTGGGCGCGTGGACAACCCACGTACGGACAGCCATACTTTTACTCTGGATGAACTGTTCTGGTGCGTCGCGGCAGCTGTTCGCATGTCGTTCGTGTCCGTCGGCGACGTGGTCGCCCAGATGTCCGGTATCCCCATCGGTGGCTTCATGTCGCGCATTGCGTGCAGCATTGTACTCAGCGATGGGGAGCGCCACTGGTTGCGTGGCAATGACGCCTTCAGTGATTGGCGGCAGGTCCCAGCATCCTGGGAGGACGCAGTAGCCTCTGTACGATACATTGATGACATGGTACTGGTTTCGTTCATGGTATGCGAGAGCTGTTTACGAAGGGCGTTGGAACTCATGGCCCCGGTGCCTTTCAGCATCGCCAATCGTGGACCAATACTGAGTTGGCTCGATCTCCGCATAGATCTGAATGCATTTGCAAATGGCGCCTCTGATTACATTGATCTTGCCCCCAAAGTGTTTTCCACTCCGCCACCCTGGGCATCGTCTCGGCGCTATCTTTATGCATATGTGAGCGGCAGAGTGAGCAGATGGGAGGAAATTGGCATGACGGTCTCGCAGGCCTCCCACCATGCTGCACGCATGGTGGTGGATCTGGCCGAGTGCGGGTGGAAACCCCGTGATTTCCGCCACGTTGCGTTTTCCATGCAAGGGAAGCGCTCCACGCCCATAGTCGACTTTGTGCGAGCGGCCATGGCAATCCAGGCCCGCGTGCCGGCGGCGAGAGTACCTCGCAATTTTCTGCCGTAGGGTGGGCCTAGTTTGGTTCAGCCAACTGTCGCCTTCCCTTGTCCGGAGTTTTTGGGCCAGCGTGGACCCCAAATCGTGAGTTCTTGTTTTCTTATGGCTTCCATGCCTTGGGCAACCAGTTCCTCCGCCTTTGTGCAAGCACTGTCTGGGGAGTCTGCGGTAATTCCAAGACGAGAGCTGCATGATGTTGCTGTCTCTCCGTAGTCGTGTTGGCTCAACGCCACGAGCGCGCGGGCAAGCGCGCAGCAGGAAACGTTTACCATATGTCCTAGTTTCTCACCTTTTGGACATCAATCGGTGACGCGCTCGTGAGTTGCTGCCTTGGAGTGGGATTCCAGATTCATTGCTGTGAGTCTGGTGGAAAATACAGCAAACAAGTATTTCCAAACAACAGTTCGTTCTGCTTCGCTGCTGGACCCCGGCGACTTTGCAACGGCCGGCAGCGCATCAAACAACCGACTTGCAGATTCAACACGTGTTCTCGAGTTGGCTTACATATCTTACATATTCATGCCTCAGAGGCTTTCTACAATATTCGCAGTCGCAGAGCAGTCGGCACAACTGTTTGCAATCCTCGCCCTCGGATGCCCAGAAAGTGTCGCGTCCTCCATCTCTGTCCAGGGGCGCAGCCAGTTGGAAAATGTAGCCAACGTCGTGCGTGATGCGTGCACGGACTTGTTAAGTGTATCCCTCACCGCGGGCATTGTCAATCATGACCTCATGCTCGCCTGCAGCCGATGCGCTTCTCTCCTGGAGGATTGGATGCTTGGGCCGAGTGCCCGCTACAGGAGGTCTGATGTACATATTGACAAAATGTGGGGTTCAATGCAAGTGTGCCTCAGCACATGTTGGCTTCTGCGCAACCTGAAATGCCGACAGGCCAAGTTGGTTGGCTCAATCATGGCACCGCATTTTAGGGATCTCTTTTGGGCCAGGGGTTCGTTGATAAAGCATGGTGGCACGCCTTTTCTTGACCTGACAGCAAAACAATGGGTCCGCCAGCAGTTATGTGCAATCTTGCGGCCAGAGCAGCATCTCCCCATGGTTGAGGCCTGCGCGCATGGCTGGTTGCAACAAGGATTTGCATACATAGGTTTTGCGACTCGCGCCAGGGAGCGCCAACGACATGCGAGTGGCATATTGTTCCGATGGGGAGAGCATCTTACCGGCAAGATGCGACCCCACCTCGCTGGTTCTGACCGCTGGCGATACACGCTTGCGCGTAAATATCGGGCTGGCTCCCCCTCGTTCGTGGTCTTGCAGACGGGGCCCCATTCAGTGATGCGAGCGGCGGAAACGGTTAGCATTCGCACTCTCAGGCCAAATGCGAACGCACGTCCACTGAGCATACAGAGGCCGAATCAGTTTGTGCA